ACTTAGAGCTACTTAGGATAAATGAATGTAGTTTCATGTTACAATAGAAAGAAAAGAAGGTTAATTTCGGGTTATTTCGATTTTTTTGGTGGTTACGAGGTGGGTCAAATTGACCGATCCTATTTTGAGATTAGGGTAGAGAAAATAACATATAAACTATAAGGATTTAGGGAAAAAAAAACGTTTGAAATGCATTTAGGAGGTTTTAGGGATTACACAAAGGAAATTTCAGATTTTTGAGATGACGAAAAGTATTTTTAATTTTAACATAAAAATTACTTTGCACAAAGACTATTAAAAACAAATACTAAATATATTCATGGACAAATATTTATTTTATTTTATTAAAAGTACTTCACTAATACATATGACTTTTTGTATGTGAAGGTCTTGTAATATTAACAGAAACACTGCCAAATTTCGTGAAGACATACCCAATATATAGAGAGTTATAAGTATTAAATTTATGTCAACTTTAAACAAGTACAGAAGGTCATGTGACTCAGTCAAATTGACCGACACCATGTTGGAAGAGTTAAATACAAGTATTACTCTTAAGATATATATAAGAAAAAAATATATTTAAAACTTCTTATCAAAATTTCCACAAGTAATTATTATACTTACCAAAGACAAGGTATGTCCATTGTTTATTTGGTGACTATTTGACCTGTTGGAAGCTGGATAGCCCATTACAACATTAGGTGGTGTGGTTACATGGGTTCGAGAAAGTGGTCCCATACCTGGTCGCATCACTGACTGCTGCAACATTACATTTGCAGGTAAAGTTGAGTGTAATCCACTTTTAGATCCCATCAGAACTGAGGATGATCCTTGGAGGTTTTGATTTCTTATCTTAAAAAGAAGAAAAAAAAAGATATACAAAAATACATATCAGACACAGAATATGTCAAGTGTATGAAATTAATTTTTTAAGTTGCTGGTCCACTGAACAAGAAATTATATACTTACAGTTTTACTTGTCTGTGTCTAAGTTTACTAGCCCACTTGCAATGTGCCACAGTGCCATGCCTAACCATTAAACAAGTGTTATACTTACATATACAAACAAATTTTGTAACACTTTAATATATATCACTGCACAAATTTATTTTTACTAAAACCTGTTCCTAAAAATAGCATGAACATTAGATGTAATCTATGAATTTAATGATTTTTGCAGTTAATAACATTAATTTTTTCAGGATTCACTTGTTTCTTCATCAATATAAGAAAATGTAGAAACTCTCCAAAATAAATTGCAGCATCACAACATTCTTAATGGTTAAGTGTGAATTCAAACTTCCTAAAGAATGAAAATTTTTTATCACAAAGTTTAAAATATAAATGAAAGATACTTCAGCAAAGATTTCAATTTAATCAAACTTAGAAATCTTAAATCAGTAATTTCTGAATAACTGAAATCTAAGTATTTGGAATAAAACATACTGTTATGATGTTTATACAGTAACCAGTATTTTTCATGAAAATGACAAGACATTTTCTCTCTCAAGTTACTGGGCCAGTAATTACATTGATAAACTGTAGGTAGGATATTTTTGGTTACAATAATTACAAGTTTGGTTATTGACAAGCCTGATTAACTTTTAACTGGATGGCCATTAATATCCAATTAAAGTAGACAGATAGTACTGTGTATTTAATATAAACATTGAAAAAAATCATTCTCTAGTTAATAAATGAAGTATAGTTTGAAAGGCTAATTATTTGTTTAAGTGGCAAGTTTAAAAACCAACTAATAACAGTTTTATAATGCGGTTCAGGTGTAAATTTTTTCCTTCACTGTGAGCAGTATTTACATATCCATGTTACAATAAAGATAAACAATAAATATTAAATTTTCTGAATGAAATTAGTGAACTATTCTATTGTCTAAAGTAATATATGTCATATGATTCAAAATGTAAATATAAGATTAACATACACAGCTCATGATAAGTAACAGATTAAATACAAAGTTCGTGCTTTCATATGTTACAATAACTAGTCATACAAACTTCAAGTATGACATAGAAAACTAACTATCAAGGAAGAGGAAATAAAGACTGAAGGAAGGAGAGACTGTAGAAGACAGAGGTTGACTTGTGAAAAGAGTCTATCTAAATTTTTTTTATGTCTCAAGGAGAAAAGACCTGTGGAAGATTTTCACCAACATCCTATGTGGATATGGGTCATAGAAAAAATTTTAATGTGTTCAAAATTTATATGGCTACAAGTTAAGTAGTCACTGACAAACTAAAATACTCATATCCTAGTACTATTTAGTTGTTAACTTTTAATGATTCTGTAAAATTATCAGACAATTCTATGTTGCATAACAGGTTGAATTTCTTATGAAATATATTTTCATATTTTAGTGCATTAGGTATCTTACATTTGGTATTATTTGATAACTTCAGTGTCTCAGATAATAAACACATACAACTTTATTTCCTTACAGATACAATTTCTACATAAATATATCTCCCATCATATTTCTGTTTCTCTTTTGCTATTCTAGAATATTTTACCACAGAGTATCTATTGCTCAAAGATGTTCATTTACTCTCTGACATACATCTATTTTAACTCAATGATGGACTGTCAGCTGTGTGTACATTAGAGTTGACACTTTTATACCAGATGTTAATTAACAAGCCATAAATCATTTTAGCTCCAAAGCAGCCTAACAAGACTTACCTGTATTATACAATAAGCACCCATCATTACCACCCACATACGGTATAAAATGCTTAGAAATATGACACTGCAGTCACCTTACACCCAGTAACTGTTTTAGCAACAAATATATCATACACTTCTAAAACATATGTTTGAACTAGAAAACTATGCATCATTAGATGCTAGCTGTCCCAACATACTTTCCTAGATAAAACTTTCTTCTTTTCTGTTTGTGATTAACATTAACAAAGAGCTGTCAGTTCCAATCACTCAAACTGCATGTACAATACATACTATACATATTAGATCAGGATACAAAGTTAAATAAAATATATGAAAGCATGCATACTTAATATGCCATTCTTACTTGAAACATTTTGCTTGTCCCTGAAAGACTGCCAAATTTTGTTAAGATATACACAATATATTGAGAGTTATAAGTATTAAATCTATAGACTTTAAATGAGTACAAAAAGATCACGTGGTCGGTCAAATTGACTGAGCCCATATTGAGTGTGTTAATTGTATAAGAAAATATTTTAAAATATCCTCAATCTTGCCTAGTATGAGAATTGTGACATTTGTTCTCTAGGTCTTCCCTCTTCTCTAATTTATTTACTATCCCTCTGATAAATATGGAATATAATGTAAATTACTCAGTATAATAGTTATTACTCGGCAATGCATAATTCTTATAATCTTCAATCTTATTTGACTACAAAGCCATAAAAAGGGTTAAAATACTGGTCATACTATGAAAAACAAACATTCCAAGTAAAAGTAAAAAGGCATTAGTATATTATTCAATTCAGAACTATACTTAATTTACAAAACTTTAAAAATACTTGCCATCTGAGAAACTGTCAATGGGTGCTGGGGTGCATTTTGTTCAAATATTTTGCCTGATAAGACAGAGTGTCGTCCTCTATCTAGAAAAATTGAACCAGAACTTGACTGCACATTACGGCTTGCAGGTGGCGCTATTTTTCCAGGCAGTGGTTGAGTTGCTGACAACATGTTATCTTTTACAGTCTGACTCTGCCTTAGTTTCTTCAATAAAACCAGCTTCACTTCCTCATTTCTTAGTTCTTCTCGCAACTTACAAATTTTCATCTCTTTCTCACATAGCTCTTCTTCATTAAGATCTTTAAGTTTTGGTAATGGAGGAAGTTCAACATCATCTGAATCAGAAGATTCAGGCTGATTATCATTCTGCTCAACTTTTTGGTAACTTTCTACATGATCACTGCAATAACTTTGGTCATAAGATTCACGAAAACAAACAGCTTTAAATGATGAGGATCTTAACTGCAATTTTTCAATATCTTCACCATCATTATTACCAATACTTGGTACATTACTGTCAACAGCAAGTATTTCCTGATTTTCACTAATTTTTCTCTTCTTCATGCTTAAATCAATAGTCTCAGAAACTTCATCATTATCTCTGTATTTTCTTTTCCTAGATTACAGAAACAATTACAAATCACTTTAAAAAATTTTAATTGATATATATACTGTTAAAACTGAAACATTCTGGAATATTACCCAATTAAATTTTTCCTATAATACACAGAACAGGAAATGTTTTTATGGAAATATTTAATAACAATTGAATTAAAAAGTAAGCAACTGTTAAATTCTGAAATTAGTTTTTATTTTTCTCTACATGTAACGATATCTTCCTCATTCAAAGTGTACAAAAATGCAAAATCACACAAAAAGAAAACAACAACAACATTTAAATTAAAACATTACAAACTTACCTTATTGACAAGTCTGCTACCTCTGATTCTCCCATGTTGTCATTTTCACCTTCTTGGATATAGGTGATATCTGGCCAATTGTTGTAGGTTTCTCTCTGCATGATTACCTAAGTCTGTAAAATTTATCATTTAAGGCAGGAGGAAAGCTAATACAGTCGTATACATTTCATGTAAAGTAACTGTTATGGTAACGTTACACGTTTGTCTTAAGTTATACAAAACATATTCTTATGATGCCTACTCCATACTTTGGACTGTTTCAATAGAAAACTTTTGGAGAAAAAGAATTATCTTAAAAACAATATTTTTTATCTGGTTTTACTTCTTGTTATACACACATTTCATAGCTTTCCATTACTAAAATGTGGTTGAACCAGTTGAGCTAACTCTTAACTTATTTTCTTCTCATTACAAATAAGTTGTAATATGAAACATGTTAACATGCACACTGTATAACACACCTCACATCATGACTAAGAACTACAGTTGGAAAAAATTACAAAACACACACAACAAAAGAACATTTGGTCCTTCAAGGCTTTTCTTGAATATCTAACCCTTGAGAAAAGTAAACATTTAGACCCACCCTTTATTTTTTGGGGAAATTAACAATTTACCTATGTAAAGTGATGGTCTCCACTACTCCCAATGACAACTCATTCCATAACCAAATCACCCTGTTAGAAAAATAAAACTGTCTTAATTAGAGCCTAGTCTGTCTTTTCCAAATCTTAAACTTGTGTCCTATTATCTTTAGAACAAAACACAAATAAATCAAAGGCCTTTACCCCATCCATCCTTCAGATAACCTTATCCTTCTTTTATTGAGTGAAAAAAAAAAGACCAATATCCTTTCTTAGATAAGGAGACCAAAACTGTACCAAGTGAAGCATAATTAGTGATTTGTACAGAAATAATTATATCTTTTTTGACCTGTAATCAATATGTCTATAAGAACACTAAAACTCTATTAGCAACAAAACACCACTGATATGGCTTCAGTGACATATGCCATTATACCAAGATACTTTTTTTCAGTCAAATTACTGAGTTTCCATCTATATTTAACATATGATCTCCATATTATAATAATCCAAAATACATTCCTTTGCACTTACTGTAATTACAGGTCTTTTGCTAAATAATTGTTCATGTTATCAACTAATCCAAGGTATTCTGTAATATCTTAACATCCTCAATACTGCTAAAAATAAATTATTGTCATGAACAATTTTAAGGTCTTAAGAATGAAAGCAAATTATAATACATAATAATAAGTCAACCACACTATATCTGCTATATCCACTACCAATGAAACCTTTCACCCAATAGCAGGGCTCATCAGGTTGGCTAGAACACTAGACATAGTAGTGGTCTAGATGCAATTTATTTATATCATCAACTGTTTAAAAAGCAGCTGTTATGATGAGAGCTAGATTAAATATGTATAATTATTTTTTCAAAATTTCTTTGCCATGTGTGTAATGTTCAATCTTAAAAACTAAATTTTTTTTAAAAACAACAATTATTTTATACACAATTCAATAAAAATGAGATTGTTTTATTTGTAATTTTCCTAATTTTAATAATTTCATTGCATTGTGCGTAGATGTTAAAAATAAAATATAAACATTTACCTTAAAAAACTTTTGATATCCTATTAGGAGGTTCTAGAGATTATGTAAATAAATCAAATATGAAACTATAACATGTATTTCTATATTTAAAATGAAAATCACCTTGCACTCGATTTGTTAATAATTTGAATGCAAGTAACTACAACAGAAAAATAACATTTTTAGTAAAAACACTTAATTATAAAACTGTCATTTCTTATGTAAAAGATACTTATGTTTGTCTGTTGTTTAAGAGCAAAGTCATGATGGACTGTCTGCTGTGTCTATCAGAGGTAATCGAACTCTGGATTTTAGCATTGTAAGTCCATAGACTCACCAAGGAACCAAGATACTTATGAGCTTTAACAAAATATTACCAGTTTTTTGAGAGGATACATTAAGAAATCTTAAGAGTTACCGCATGTATTGTTGCACAAGTGAACTTCTTGACTATTCCTGCAAATTGCTCGAGCCCACTGCAAAAGGGTTAATCAACAACATTGTTACAGAAAATGTGACTGGTAATAACAATCTCTCTCTCTCTCTCTCTTTCAATTTTGTGTTATTGTTGAAGGTCTGTATCTACTTCCTAATCAAACTTAATGTTACTCTTGTTCTGTTCTGCTGTTTTTTAATTATTATTAAATAATCAACAATTTTATGTTAAAAATACTTTTACTATGAACCAGCCTGGAATGATGACTGTTAAATATATATGTCTGATAAAACCAGCTGCACTTATTTTAATTGGTTGCAACAGTGCATTCTTCCAATGCAAGCTTACTGTAGATAGCTATATACAAGTACGCATCAAATATGTGTACATAAACAATACACATTTTTTTTAAATATTAAAACAACGATACTGTTCTATACAACGTATTTTTAACCTTCTGGATACATGTAAGTAAAAGTAAACATTTCACAACCTTTTTTTACAGTTACATTCAAAATTTAACTACTTAATTATTAACATATGTCAATAAATTTGGCATCAAAAATAATTAATAAAACAAATATTAATACAAGTTTTAATTTCTTAGTCTGAAAAGGAAATATTTAAATGAATTCTCAATCTTCATTTCTCTATATCACGAGACACTTATTTGTTCCAAACTGCCCAATTTAGATATTCTTTCCACCTCTATTGGAGCTTATGAGTTTCAATATGAATTACAAACTTATACTTAGTTAGCTTTTATCAAGACTTTGACTGCAAAAAAGTACAAGACCCACATGTAAGTACTATCTTTTTATTATGCATATTTTAATTTACTGTTATAAAAGTAACTAAGATGCAAAAATTAAAAACTTATAAAGTTAGATAAGAAAACAAATAAAAAAAACACTTAATAACAAATTTCTTAGCAAGGTATTCACACAACTTACACATTATTACATAATTCTAAACTTCATTTCCTGTAACTTCATATTTACTTGCCATGCATTTACAGCTTTGATGTGCATGTTCAAAGAACAATAAAATTAAATAAAACAGATATAAACTGTAATGAGCTTGAGGCTGTTTTGGAGAAATAGCTAAGTTTTTGCTACAAACTGCAACCCTTTTAGAAAGATAAAAGGGTAATTTAGATTTTTTTATGTGGTTACAAGGTCGGTAAAATGGACCTAGCCTGTACAGTGTTTAGGAGAGAGAAAAGAACTAATAAAATATAATTTTACTGATAAAACTCCTGATATTTAATTTGGAGATTCAAGAAGTCATGAAAATGAAACTTCAAAACTATAAGATTAAAATATTTATTTTTAATCACCTTGTACTCAGATTAGTGAGAGTCATAATCAGGCTATGACTCAATAAATTCATAGACAAATATTTAGTAAACAAACTTAATAAAAAAAAATCTGATTTTTTGTTTACAAAAGATTTATGACGTTCACTAAAAGTTTGCGAATATACACTCTTAACATCAAATACTACAGCATGTAGTTTCTTGGTTACGTGGTAGTTAAAAGGTTTGTCAAAATGACCAAGCCCATAAATCAAGTTAAACTACATGATAGTGTTTTATTCCAATTTATTTGGATTACATGTAAAATAAAAGGATTTGAAATCAACTGGTTGTCATCAGTAATGTATGCAAATTAGTACTAACAAAGGTTTGTACTTTTGTTCAGTAGTGTTCTGAGCTCCTGGAGGTTAAAATCTGCTCTTCATTACAGCACTATCAACATGAAAATTTATTTTTAAAATAGAAATACCATAAAATAAAATTTAAGGATAATAAGTAACTTGTTGGTCCATCTAGGCTGTCCCATACACTAAACAAAACTTCTACCCTGACACAATTAATATTCGTGTTTCCTAATCCTACCGTTCTTAACATTAAGTATGAAAAAAGATGATACACCAACACTATCAATTCCCTTTTCAATCTTAAACACCTCAATCAGATCCCCTCGACGCTGTGTTTTTCAAGTGAAAACCATTTCAGATATCTTAACCAACCCTTCTATGACAACCATTCCATCCCAGGTATCATCCTTGTAGCCTTCCTCTGAACCTTTTCCAACAATTCAATATCCTGCCTAAAGTAAGAAGAACGAGACTAAATATAATACTCCAAATAAGACCTGATCAGTAATTCAGCAAGTGACTGAATAGCAGAATAGATGTGATAACTCTCACTGTCTAACACTGAATAACTTTTTGGATACTGAACTAACTTCTTTTCAACTTAATGAATACTTAACAGAATTTTTATAATTAATGTACTCATGTTAGTTGAAATTTCTTGATCTTAACATCATACACCCTATAACATTTAAACAAAAACACTGAAAATATAAATTACAACATTATTGCAAGCTGTATTTTTAATGTGTTTTTAGTTTGTTAGGTATCGGAAGCTGCAGGACTTTGATGATGTAATGATCCAGAGACTATGCCAAATATCTAGAACAGGGCCTAGTTATAAAATATGAATGGAACACTCAGTTAGAAGCTAGTGGTGAAAAGTGAATGAATGTGGATACAGTTAAGATGATTGCAGCTTTGTTTTATAGTTGTTTTACTAAAATAATAGAGTGAATCAATCAGCATATTAGATATCACAGGT